AAAGATTTCAGTCGACCTATCGATATGGAATGTTTCAAACTATGTGATCACATTATACTGTGTGTACTGTCGACTAGCACGTCACACTAGTTGGATCATGAACATTCATTGATAGTGAATTATATTTTATTCAACGAATATTGGAGTCAATCTGAACATTAGATTATGGAATGATTTTCTCAGTCATAGTGATGTTATTTCAATACTCCAACACATGAAAAACTGAAGAACATGAAGAACTATAGCAGACCTTTTGAGTAGTATTTTTGCGAATGGTGTAGAAATCATAAGTGGCTCTGCTTCAAGAGTTATGTGCGTGACTACCAACTCATGCAGTAGTAGACTTAGGACTTAGATACTCCGAAGACTTGTCGTTTACAGAACATATATTAAAACAGACCTCTAAGTCTCAACGTCCAATAGGTTACATAACTCGAAACCTTTAAAACAATGAGTCATTTATTCTAATGTACAAAGTTTGTGCTCGGCGTCTTCTAGAATATTGCATGTTTATTCTTAGCAGTGCGCGCATAAAGGATAAATTAAGGCTGTAATCAGTACAGAGACGATTTACACTTCGTATTCTTGGAGCTGATTGCACCTTAACTTATAATTCTAGATGTAATAAACTTGAGCTAGACCCTTTATGGAGGGGGAGACTCAAATTAAATTTTATCTTCTTCTTTAAACTACTTCATAAACTATCGTTTACATTCGATCACGCGATTCAATATGCAGAAACTTCTCATTATGACATCCGTAATTCCTTGGCACTGGTGAAACAAATTCATTCTAAACCATCTCTTTATGTGAATTACTTCACCTGTAAATTTTCTAGACTCTGGAATAACCTACGACAATCTATCCGTGCGATAATATCACTCCCATTATTTATTCGCTGCATCGATGCATACTGCTGCTCTGAAAATGCAATGAATGGTCTAGCACCTGTAAGTGTATCTCATTCCACAAGTTAGATTAAAATGAAAAACTTCTTCACAACAGAGGGTAAACTTACTCTCTACAAAATATGTGTACGACCCACCCTTGAATACTGCTCTTTTGTCTTCTCTAATATGAATATCGCAGACAAGATAAGAGTAGAAGATGTTCCAAGACGTTTCACACGTCAACTACTAGGATGCAACTCGAATCTCGATTACACAGACAGATGTAATCATCTATCTTTAGAACCTTTATGGCACCGTAGGCTAAAGAACAATTTAATATTTCTCTACAAAGCGATATATGGGCTCTCCTTTCTAACCTCCTGCCCGACTATCACCCACGACCCAGCCTATAGACTTAGAAACAACGCATATACACTACCTACCGTAAAACACCAAAAACAAATGCGTTGTAAGTTCTTTACAGTACGATACAGTTTATTGTGGAACAGGCTGCCAATGCCTATCCGTAACTGTGATACGTTTACCAGATTCAAAAAGCTAAAAACCCTATTTCTAGACTCCAAAGAGCTTCAACATTTTCTTGAACTCCCGCCCACCAATGAGGCACTTTATTACGGACCGCCTAGTATCTAGAAAGAACAAAATTATAACAAGTTCGACTGTTACTAATCTGAATATAACCAAATCACAGAACATATGGCTTATCCTTTCCTATTATTCATTGTTTATTAATCATGACTTCATGCTCCTAACCCTAGCTTTCAGTCCCCAAATCTCTGCAGGTTAAATGTACATTATTCTTCCTAAAAGTCATGCTTTTTTTTCTACTGCAAGTAGACAGATAGCTCAATCTTATGGATGCTGATCTACTAAGGCCGATCATTCAATGCTCAAAATTTAGCAACAAAGTCTTGTGAGTTTCTCAATGTTTTGTTTTTCTCACCCTAAAATCTTTTCTTTTCTACAATTTTATACCCTCTCATATCTTTTGATTTACTATTAGTCCTTACTTCTTTAAACCATTATTTATTTTCATAGCAGTGTGATATACTATATGGACATCTAACCCAAAAAAAAAGACTTTTCAACTACCTCATTTGCTTGTAACATGGACCTAGTAGAGACAGTGTATTCCAACTATGGGCTATGATTAAAGCAGTATTCATACTTACCACAAACGTAAGAGAGCCTAACATCACAAAAGGAGGGAGGGTGGCGTTACTGACCAGCAGACATGAAGGTGGGGAGATAACTTCAATCCACTCATGTCTGTAGGGCAGAACATTTTGTTTAATTACGGCTCCTTATGGTTTAGTGGGATGTCACGAACTTAAGGTATTAATGCTGATTTATCATGCAAAATACCACATTAAATCGTGTTACGAACGTTGAATTGGTTTCACTTCCTACCCAGAAATCCTATTACAAGCAAACTAGACAATTCGCTAATATACGAAGCCTACTCAAGACCCTATAATACCTGAAAAAAAAACAAATAAAAAAAAACGAAAGGCGCTCTAATAGCTTCGATAATAAAAGGAAGATAGCCAGTTGTACATCACAATGCTGTTTCTAGCACTATATTTTATTTTATAATCACACATAATCTTATGCTCTCAGCTCTTTTCCGAATCGCCTCCATTTGTCAGTTGTATGTCTACTCACACCTTGCTAACACTTATTTTCTTTAACCTATTAAAATGCTCTTTCTTAACAAATACCTTAATAAAAGAAAATTAGACTGAGTAATTATATCTTAAACATTCCGCATGAATATTGGCTACTTTGCCTCTCATGTTTTCTTTTACTTGCTCCCTCTTTCAGCCCCCTTGAGATATGGAACGGGTTACTTCATCCTGCACCATCCTTAAAGCCTTGGATATCCTAAAGGGACATAAGGTTGCGATTTCTAGAAGCTCCTACCTTCAATGGACCTATCCTTGAGGATCAGTCGCACATTCGCAACGCAACTCTCGTGAAGCGCGCCAACTGTAGTACTGATTAAAACCATCTACATTCATATTTTATAAATTATCAACCCAGCTATGTAATTTAATACAGTGTATATTGCATCATTTGTATCAATTTGATCTTGCCTGTAAACTGGCATGCCTCATGTAACAAACTGTTATTTGAGAATAAATTATTATTATTATTATTATTATTATTATTGTAGGAGCTTTAAATGTTTAGCCATTTTTATTAGTGCATTCCCCAAGTAAAACCACTTACTTGCTGTCACTTTACATTAACAATGTCTCTGGCAACCTTATGTAATGTGAATAACATATGACATCAACAGTATATCACCGGGTCAAATGACACACGCATTTAGGTAGACCTGATTGATATATTTTGGTAATTACTGCTTTCTTGCTTCCGTGCTCTCTGTTTTCGTTTTAATTTCTCTAGTTGTAGATATTTATCATTAATTCGATCTGGCACAGGAAATGACGTTAATTACTCTCCGTTCATAAATCAACGAGCTGTCCATTTAGAAAAAATTAAGAGTTCACGACTGGTGCATTGTATCGCTGTAATACATGTACTACTTAAACAACTACTGAACTAGTATACTTATACCTTACTCCTATCACATGTTTGTTCTGTATATCTAATGTTACCATTTTATATCAAATGGATCATGCTCCTGTCAAACTGGCTTGAATTCTGTAATTATTATTATTTTCAGAATATATAAATTATTATTATTATTATTATTATTATTATTATTATTATTATTATTATTATTATATAATGAGTCGTTTTATCACAGCTACTAATTTCATAACTAATTGATTAGTATCATTCCGGTTATTCATCGAATTCTATATGGATTAATTTTTTTATTGAATAAGATCAACTGAGTATTCATTATGTAGATAGTTTTATTGTTTTTAATTATAATTTATCGATATATTTCTATATATTTTCAATAAAACTTAACCAGAATAAAAATAGGCACACATAACAGAGTACTTTTTTTCTTACTGAATTATAAATTCCTTATTATTTATTTGTGATTAGTTAAGCCAATCTCATGAGGCTAATTATAGATCTACTAAACTGAGTTTTAACAACAACCTGTAGAAGAACTCGAACTACTTCATGATAGAATGATTCACATTGGTACAGAGATCTAATAAGATTAAACTAATCTGATAGTAACTATTATGATGTTAATTTATAATTCCATTCATGAAGTTCACCTTCCAGTATTCTAAGTTAAAATGCGAAAGATGTTTCCCGTTTTAGAAAATAGTTACAGGTATTATATGCATCAATTGAATGTCGATTATATATGTAACTCAAAAGTAAAACACTGCTTACTTATTGGTGTTTCATTTCTCATGAGAGATAGACGTATCCCCAGATAATCTGAAGCATACGCAGTCTGATATTGAATTCGACAACTTTTATTCATATTGTTACTATTATTCGGTTACTCAGGTAATAAAATATTGTTTTTGTTCTCTATAACTGACTGCTCAATCTACGTTTTGTGCTCATTATCATCATCATCATCAAAATATACTTACAATACCGAAGCATTTGATTTTCTATGTTTAATTTGAAGAAGCGTCACCTCATTTCAAGGTCTAAGATGTCACCACTGAGTCATCTGGAGCAAAATTAACTAGGCGAAAACATGATAGATTGAATTCTATCTAATAATATTGAGTTTTAGATAAACGTAGCATTAATCAATACCTGGTGATCAATCGATGTTTTAGTTTTAGGTTATCTGATTATGAAGTACCTTTTATCCAGTCCTCAAAAATTAATTCAATCAATCTTAGTTATTCGACCCACTGAATTCCTCCTAAGTACACTCTGCCTTCTAATTGACCATTATAACAAGTTATATTTCACAATTATCATAGAGAGGGAAGAAACATACTTTCAACACTTATTCTTAAAGTATTAACTTACAGCTAGAAGGCGATTGTGTAGAAACCAATTCATTCAACAAAAAAATCGTACCTTCCCACTCGTAACTTGTTTTTAAAAAGGTTGACAGGGAATCCAAATTAAGGAGAATCCTGAAGCACAGTTCACTTGTACTTTAACAATCTTGTCTTTTAATTGATGTACGTACTTGGACTGAAACTAGAACTTACTAATCGTTTCATATTAACTAGTAAGAAAATGAAATGACACTTTTTTCTAAAAACGTTAACTACCAATTTATCAAGTACAAATCTGATGGGAACAGATCAACAACGAAGCCGTGATAAACAATGGAAGCTCTACTTTTGGAGACGTTATTTCACATAATTCAAAGTTTGTGAAAAACTAACATTTAGTTTTATCCCTACGTTATTGTATAAACCGTATGCTTCCGTTTGGTGTGAAGATGACACAGGTATTCAATGTTTGACAACGCTTCTACCAGTAACACCTTCTAATATAAATCGTACCCAACAAGAGAAATCAAAAGACAAAGTCGAGGAGATCGTAATAGTGTATTTGGCGATAACCAATATATCGGAATTCTCTGATCTTATCTGGCTAGCGATGACAGTAGCATTTGAGCACGGCGTTACCACACGTGATGTGGTACAGATGCATGACCGAGCGCCTTTCAGCTAGTTGAGTCCACTACAACATTTGGTCAGCATCCAATGTCGAAAACTTACAGAGCTATTTATTTTGGGGATTTATTTACCGCTACAGATGAATGATTCATTGCTATACCCTTCTCTGTTTCAAAGTTGTTGTAATTTAAACGTGACCTCTTGTACTCTATATGTGCGCCCTTGATGGACTGTTTGGAGATAAAATTGCATTTTTCTGATTGTTAGTGTGTTTTGGTCGTGTTAGTCATCTACCTAAGAAATGCAGTACAATCAGTCAAAGACAACGATTTAATGTGTTCTCTGAGCTATAGCTTTCATTAATTTTTATTCCGGACATCTTTAGAGCCTAATTCTTCTCACTAATTAAACTAAATAGTTCAGAGAACTCATTACCATCATTTCAGATAACAATGTATAAACTAATTTCTTTGTATTAACACTACAACAAGGAGAACAGCCAGGATGACAAAGGAACAAAAAGGAACTGGAAATAGTAATATTCACATATGTAATCGGAAAGTTGTAAAATAATACAGAATCGAGATTCCCAAAAAAGAAGAGTAAAACGTTGTGTGAATTGACAATGGGTTGAAGAAGATTTACGAGAATAGGAAGGATATTTGGCGAGAGAAATGAGAGATAATACTGTGGTGTTTGAATTAAATAATGTTTTTTTGTACTTGTTGAATGCTCGATTTCTAATTCCAAATACAATACATTCGTTTGTGCTTGTGTCCTAACTCAAGTGCGTTATTTGTGGGACTCTTAATTCGTACTATAATTCAAATAATTTCTAAACATTATACTGTCGTTGCAATGGAACAGTTAAATATTCATTCAACTTCTGAAGCTTTTTAGGATTACTTTGAAAGGTTCGAAATCTGGTCTATGACCAAGGAAGATGATGAGGATGTTAATACTGTGGCACATTTCCTCACACTCATTGGGAAAGAAACATACAGCTTATTAAGAACTCTGGCTATGCCGGAAAAGCCTATCTCGCTTCCTTATACACCTCTCAATAAACTGCCGCTAGACTATGTTAATTATACAAATTTTGAATGCGATAAAAGATGGAGATCTCGTAAAATGATTCATGAGGATACAAAAAATTCCACTACATTACTACGTCATCCCGACCCAGTACATACTCAAGGCTATGCAGATAATTTGTTGAGGAGTTGCAATGCATTTCAGGAAGATGAGCACAAGTTTGTCCTTTGGCATGTTCCACTCTTTTAATTCATGTAAATTTCGTAATTCTAAGTGCTTTAAATGTGGTGATATTGGACTTATTCAGTCAGTCTGTAATACTAATGCTTATTTTACTGCAACTAATATTAAGTTTTGTAATTCTGATTCTACTGAGTCGAGCATTTATGATGATCATTTATCTTAATCAACGATTTCAAAAGACAGTGCAGAGTCATATGGCAGTTCAGAGTTAAATGAAATTCAGAATTCTTGCGAGACAACGGTTTCTAATCAACCAACTTATCAGATTTCTCATGTTATTGTACCCTATATAGTTTTTCCTAATGATCCACATATTTCTGATGAAGTTTCTTACAAATCTGAGGAAAATATGTTAAATGAACCTAGTCATGATTAAAAACCTGAGGCAGTCTAGATAGATGCTGATTTTTCTACTGATCCATTACTGTGCAATGACATTCTTAATAAATTTCATGAAAATGTGTCAGAAGAATCAAATTCTGATGTCATATCATACATAACCTATCTTCATAATGCATTTGATCCTTGTGAAAAACTTGTTCGATGCAAAGCACGAGTACTAAATGACCTAGATTTTGATTACATTTCGGATGATTTCATATCAACTGCTGTTTACCCTTATCACAAAAACAGTTCTAATGTTTACTCTAAACAATGTGAGAAATATGTTTTAAATGAAGCCACATTATTCATAACTTGTAGATATAAAGATCTAACATTATTTCGTAGGGGAGGATAGTGTTAAAAAATCTACGGTTTGAATGCTAGATATGTGGTGGTTCCCAAACAAAAGGAGCTTACACAAAATATATTGATACACTAGGTTAATAGTGATATACCAAAAAAATTAATAGTAAAGAAACCTTGATGTCTGTCCGTTGGTAAAACCAAAGGTAACAAAATACCGTTAGCAATACAAAAGGTATATTAAACAGACACTAACAGTTACTATAGAGTGAATGTTACTTGTGAACTGCCTCGTGAGAACTACGACCACAAACTGAGTTCACTTGATTGACAGGTGTTCCTCTGAAAGTGACTGCACCAATGACGTAATGAGGAAGCCGGAGTCCAATAGTATTATACAACAGTAATCCGTGCCAAAAGTCCAACGTTGAGTCGGATGGCCTATAATGATGTTATAATACTATTATAGTCTTCAATCAAAACGGTGGCCAATAAAACAGAAGAACAAACGGCGTAGATAGTGTTCTGTAACACGTGTAATCAGCAGTTACTGGAAGGCGGGAAGACCTAAAGCCACAACACACACAATGTTAACTGAACACTTCACACCACAGAGAGAACACGGAATGGAGACCACCAGTCGTTTATTTTTAAAATTAAAATTTACGGGTTCTGTACAGAAAAGAGAGCTAGTTTGCAAAACGGTCTTATGAGTCGTCCTGTAAGTATAGTGCGTGCAAGGCTTGCTCTTCTTCTCCTAAGGCATTTATTCTTGCTTGGCCTGCAATAGAAAGTAAACAGAATCTATTAACAACATCATACATGATGATTTTAATCCCGTTACAGTTCTATATTTTAAACAACGCGGTAGCGGAATCGTATATTCTTCATCGAAACAATAATCATCGTTTTTTTTAACAAGTCATACAGCAAGACAACAGATATTGAATAAAAATGTGGTTACAAATAAGGTGTGACAAGTTGGAAAAAAAATGTGCTTTTTATTTTGTTGTTACAAAAATCTCTGAATATATGTCACCATAGATATTAATGATTTCATTACAAAACCGACATGCTGATTGTATACAATTTCAGGACGCAACGGGAGTCTGTTCCGATTTCAATGTATTCTAGATACTACAGAGTTTTTGTCCAATACAATGTCGGACAGACTCAGGATGAACATAACGAGAAGACGTACAACCGATTACAGACACTTATACTCCTATTTAAGCTGTGGCGAATGTGGTGCTTGAATTAACTAATGATTCTTTTGTACTTGTTGAATGCTCAATTTTAAATTTCAAGTACAATATATTTGTTCGTGCTTATGTCTCGATTCTTAGTTCAATTGCGTTAATTCTGGGATTCATAGTTCGTACTACAATTCAAATGATTCAAATATTATAAATACGCACATTTTAAGGACTACAAAACAATAAATAACAGTAGCGACTGTAGATAGCACTTAAGTTGATCGAGGTCCGTGGAACCTTTGCAAAATTCGTATATTATTTAAATAATAGGCATAAGCTAAAAACAAACCAACTACTCCAGTAACCGAGAGAATACAATCACTAATGGGATGAGATACAACTGACTTGTCGATAACTGAAGATTTCTCTGTTTGATGATAAAATGATTAGTAAAACACAAGTAGATTAATTCAAAGATTGCTCGATTGTAGTGACTCACTTTTATCGCCAGAAAACGATTGGTTCAATGAGAACAATTATTATTATTATAACCAATTGTATCTGTGCTTGTTTAATATGCTCTTTGTTTAACTGTGCTAATGACAGCTATATTGTGCTTCCATTATTATTCTTACACTTTGATTGTGACCTCGCGCGAATTCGGTTACGTTCTGTAACCAAGCTTGTATCCTGGCACGATCTCGATATCCTTTCGGTACCACGAGATCGCCAGTGAATATATCTCGATTTGGTCCATTAACTGCCTTCTGATATTTGGCTTCCGGGGGATTTTATGAATTTACTTGGCACGTGTTTCTCCGTAGCGGTGTTTATAGTCACGCTATAAGATACTGATATTTTAAAAGTTGTAAACAGAAAAAGAGGGTAAGGAGCGTATAAGAAAAAGAAGAGGAAGAACATTAACGACCACAGATTAGTGCAAAGTAGTGTAATAATAATAATGGGGGATACGGAAAGGTAAACCAGAAGAATTCTTTCATTTAAGGAAGATACAACAACATTTTAGGAAGAAAGTAAAGGAAGATTACAACAGGATCGCCATTGGCTTCTATTCTCAAACATATCTGATAACGTCTCTAGCCACTGCGTAGCACCATCTCTCGGACCCCAGCCAGAGAGTGGTGGAGGACCGACGGAAGCCAGTCCGTTGCAGCTTTCTTTCATACCACGACACCATGTCATCCACTGACCACCTCTCCGCTTCTTCCAACCAGTCCCAGAGTCGGCAAATAATGCCCGGCGTGAAATTCTCTGGGACGACATTCGTAGAACATGTCCAAGCCACCGAAGTCGGTGTTTCAAGACAGTGACACCAATTGAATTATCACCTCTGTGCCCGAACACACGATGCCGAATTTCTGCATTACTGACATGGTTTTGACACTGGATGTCAGCAATCCTTCGGAGACAATGATGATCGAACACAGAGAGTCTTCTAACGTCCTCAACTCGGAGAGACCAGGTTTCACAAGCATAGAGCAAAACTGCTCTCAACGACGCGTTGTAGATCCGAACTTTTACAGCCAGACTAACATCACGAAGGCGCCAGAGGTGGCAGCCATGATGTCAAGAAACACTGTGGTTGTTGGCCTGTGATAAGTATGAAAATGTTCTAATATTTGTTGAGTCAATCACTTTCGGGTTTTGAACAACCTACGAAGAATGACGGAACACAAAACGTCATCTTCGCATATTGTATCCCTCACACCAGACTTCTTGCTGCCAGTGGCTCGGATGAGTTGGAAGAGCTTCCGGTAATTACCAGATGCAGCTGATGCTTCCAGCTCATTAGCACGCTTCGACCACCAGGCTTCTCGGTCCTCACGCAAGCTTTGCCCGATTTCCTTACGTAACATCCTTCGTTTGTGGTCAAACTCACGGTCATCCGGAGTAGACCGACGGGCTTCAATGAGTTTTAAGGAGCCTGAAGAAACCCATTGCTTATAAGCGGGACGTTTCGCGAAGCATTAAGCGGCTTTATTCGCCATTTTCATGCAGTTGCAACCAATGCCCATCCACACGTTTCGGTGGAATGGTACCTAGCCTAGAAACTAGCTCCATTCGATACTTTCTTGCAACAGAAGTTGGATATACGAGCAATGTTTCGAAGACACCTATGATCGAATACTAGTAACCCACGAATATCTTCTACTCTTACCGGCCATGTTTCACTGCCATAAAGTAAGACGGAACGAAATGCTGCACAGTAAACACGTCCTTTGGTTGATAGACGGATATCTCGCCTACGCCGTAAATGACGCAAGTTGGCAAACGCTAGTCGAGCCTTCTGTATTCGTGCTGAGATTTTGTTACACACCAGACTTTCAAGATAAGTGAAGCGGTCGACACGCTCAACTACTTCACTCCCTATCATTAGTTCGGGTGTCAATGCAACTCAATCCTGAAGCAAGACTTTACATTTTGAGGGAGAGAATCGCATATCTAACATGCTTGCATTGTTGCTTGGAGTGGTTAGAAGACTCTGCATTTTGTCAGTGCCTTCACCACATAGAACTATGTCATCGGCATATTCTAGGTCAAAAAGTGAATCTCCCGGTAGAAGTTCAACCCCTAGTAATACAGACGAGGAAAGTGTTATCTCTAAAAGCACGTCAACGACAAAGTTAAACAAGAGTGGAGTGAGTGTGTATAGATATACCTGAGAAGCTTATTTTGTGAGTAGTTTTAAATGTTATTTGTACTTATTTTGTCAATTTTCCACTGTATGTACATTTGTCGTGAAAGCTTCGCGCGCTATTTAAAAAGGACAGTGGTATTTTTCCTCGCGGAGTGAATTATTTTGTTTTTATCGCTTATTACGTATCAAGACTACTGTTTTCACTATAATTGAATTTATTTTAGTTAAAGTATTCGACTAGAGTATCGTTTTTACTGTTTCAAATCAGTTTTGTCGTTGGAACTCTTGAGTACCTCTTTTTCAACTGTATCTGTTAGTACTTTTGGTCCTAGCAATCTACAGCTCTTCACTTTCTTGGTCATTGATTATTGTTTTTTGTTTCTGAGTATCATCGCATCTTGAAAAAACTCCTCTAAAATGACCGGACAGTGTAAAAAAATCAGTTGTCAACGTCCGGGTTGTCGTTATCCTGTTGAAAGCGGCATGCAGTGCGACGAGTGCAAAGGCTGGTACCACGAAGTTTGCACGAACTAAACGCCTACTGCTCTCAAACGGTTCAGTAAGAAGGGTTGTGTATGGCTTTGTCAACAGTGCTGCTCGGATGCAAACAGCTTGTTAACCGGGGCCATTTCACTGGTTGATGCTGCAAAAAAGTGTTTTAGCAAGCATAGTCGGAACGTGTCAAACAGCACTCGATCTGTCGACACGCAAATCAGCGTGAAGGAATCTAAGGTTAGTTCGATGACAGATGACTCACGCCCGTCAAAGAAGGAAAAGCAGCCTCCAAAGGGGCCTGCCTTAAACAAAAGCTCAAAAAAAGTAGGGTCTTCTGTTCCCGTCTCCCAGATGGGATCCAACAGGAAACACCTATAAGCCGCAATCCCAAGGCTCGATCGTTTTCAAGCGGTAAACATAACACGACCTCTCAGGTCGTCGACAACCCCCCGAAATCCAACACTATGTTTGACGCAACTGTTATTGCTTCTACCAGCACCGTTGACGAATGAGTACAGGCTGTAAGGAAGAAAAGTAGGGATATAAAAGGGAACCCTGCACCCGTAAAAGTAGCTGAAAAATCGAATGCCGATCATAGCGACAGATCAGCTATTTTTCATAGAATCAAGGAGAGCGAGAGCTCTAAAATCAAAGCTCGTTTTGAGCATGACATTGTACTGATTAGGCAGCTACTTAATCAACTCATGCCTCAAAATATGACCGAGGTCACCTTGCTAAAGGTGTTTAGACTAGGGAGTCTAGCGGACTCGAAACCAAATCATTCCAGACTGCTCAAAGTAGTATTCGGCTCTTCGAACGAACGTGACCTAATTTTACAGAATGGACACAAATTAAAGGGTTCAGGAGTGTTTATCCGAAAGGACCTACCGTTGGCAAACCGTGTTAGAAGACAGGAAGTCGAGAAAGAACTACAACTTGGGTTAGACGCTGGCGAAAAGGACCTGAAAATTGTAAATTTTCGGGTTGTAAGACTTCGACAGAGAATGATGCCGAAGCCACTCTGGGTGAAGCACGAAGGCACTTAAACAGGCTTCGGATCTGCTACACCAATGCACGAAGCTTACTTAATAAGCGATCGGAACTAGGTGTACAGATTGACTCTACAAAGCCATATATAATCGCAGTAACAGAAACCTGGCTGACACAGGCTATAGATAGTGTGGAACTTGATTTCGAGGGTTTTACGTTAGTAAGGGCCGACAGAACACATAAGCGCAAAGGAGGGTGAGTAGCTCTGTTCATTAGGAATGCTATCCCATTTGCCATTATCGATAGTGTATCCCATGAGAGTGGGACGTGTGAATTAGTTAGTTGCCGCTTGAAATGCAAGGGACAAGAGCCGCTGATTGGTTTTTTCTATCGCAGTCCAAGCTGTGAGGCAAATGAGATCCTGTTAAGCAGTCTCAATACTTGGTGTCAAAGAGGTCGATGTCTAATCCTAGAGGACTTCAATGCACCTATGGTAGACTGGGAAAATCTGTGAACTAAATCGTCGGAGAATTCTTTCGAGCAGGAACTAGTGGATAGGCTTATCACATGTGCTCTGGTGCAACATGTGAAAGAAGCGACAAGGTACGATCCGGACACCGAATCATCCTTATTAGATCTTATACTGACTCACTATGAGGATGATGTTGCGAACCTCCATCATATGCCACCCCTAGGTAAAAGTGACCACGCAGTTACAACTTTCGACTTCCATATAACTGCCAGTCACGAGCACGCGTCAGTCCAGTCCAGACCCAACGTCTGGAAAGCAAACATACCAGATATCATGCACTCAGCATCGTTAATAGATTTGACAATAGACCCAGAGTCCTCCATTGAAACAGCATGGGACGCATTTCGAAATTCATACTTAAAAGTTACCACACCTCACATCCCTTGGACTATACCAAAGGGGCCGAAAAACTCACCACCATGGCCCAGTAGGGAGGTCCGTATCCTTCTCCGTAAGAAAAGGAAAATGTGGGATAGATTTAAGTTACTGGGGACTGATGAGTCAAAATCTCAGTATCGAAAGGCTCGGAATACTTGTGCCTCGACTCTCTGTAAGTCTAGAAAATTGTACGAAGGAAAAATTGTTAAGGAATCCATAGAATACCCTAAACGCTTCTATTCATATATAAACCAAAGGACAAGGAGAAAATGAAATATTCCTGCTCTATGGGGAGACAGTACTGCTTCATCATTAGTGGATGACGACTTTGGTAAGGCTCAAGTGTTCTCGAACTACTTTAGCAACGTATATACCATAGAAGCGCTTTTCCCGTCAGCGTATACAAATCCCCCCATACATACACTATATAGCGTGACCATTAAAGAACTCGATGTCTTTGGTCTGCTAAATAAGCTTGACATAGGTAAATCCACGGTGCTCGATGAATTACATCCTAGGCTACTGAAGGAATTATCTAACTTCGTCGCAAGCCCTTTAAGTACATGCTTTAACCTATCCGTTACGCAAGGTCGTTTGCCAGAAGACTGGAAGAACGCCATAGTAAGTCCTGCCTTCAAAACAGGTACGAAACACAAACCTGAGAATTACCTCCCCGTTAGCCTAACTAGTGTGGTTGTTAAAACCTTAGAAAAGATTATTCGGAAGAAGCTGTTTAAGTATCTTGATATAAACCGGATACTCTCGGAGAAGCAGCACGGCTTCAGAATAGGTTATTCTCGTCTTACTAACTTATTAGTGGCTCGTGAAAGCTGGTGCGCTCCAAAAAAGTTCATAAGCCGAGAACAAATTACTTGTCAGCTGACTATCGACTTTCCCATCGAATCATCAACGAGTAGAATTCACTACCTCAGCACGTGGTTGAGGCTCCATCCGTCGACTCTTTCAAATAAAGTTGGATCAACTGAGAGACCACCATTGCCAGGACTAACATAGGCCATCGAGCCTCCTGTCCTTCCCAAACTAAAACTGAAACTGAAATGGCTGTACGTGTTGTTTAAGTGAATGACCTTGAACAAACTTCACGTTGTGTAACTTACATAGCATGACATACCGTGGATTGCTAACAAATACATTTTTGCACATATATCCCTTCTTCTACATTCATTTATGATTGAATTAACTGAAGTTCAAATCGAATATTATCAACATTTATAGACTGAGATTGGGAATGTATCACACCTTACATTGGATTATATTATTGGAGAGTTCATCAACTTGATTGGAATCATCAAACATTTATAATTGTGGATTTTCAACACCAGATCAAATCCGGACACGCGTCATTTTAGTGAATTTAAGTAAAGTCCCTATTTTTTTATTGTATTTTAACAATTAATTTACATACATTAACACCACTATTGATCTTAAATAACTTTGTTGATACTTTTTACGCTCGTACATTGTCTGGTCCACCACAAGTGGACAGCCATGACGAACGCCACTTGAGGTAATCAATTCTGATGACAGTTCGACATAAGCCTTCACTCGACCAGTTGTGTTCGAGTAGAGAGCCTTTAAAAGGTTAATGTACTTCTTTGATACTACTTTCAGTGACAAACACTGCCACAAAACCTCACGATCAACAGGGTCGAATGCCTCCTTAAGGTCGAGAAATGCTTCGATTGTGGGGCGTCTGAATGTGTGTCTATGTTCTGGGACCTGACGTAGTGTGAATATCTGGTCCATACAACCACGTCCAAGTCGAGAACCAGCCTGATTTTCTCTAGTCTGTTCTTCACGAGCTTTAGTTAGGCGTCGAAGTATTATTGAAGCTTATATTTTAGACACTATATTAGTCAAACTGATTCCTCTGTGATTGTCACAAGAGGATTTTTGTCCGTCCTTATAGACTGGCACAATCAGTGATTGAGACCAGTCAGATGGGATTACGTCCAGTTCCCAAATTCTACCTAAGACCTCAGTTAATTTTCTTGCTAATACTGGACCACCATCCTTAAAAATCTCAGGAGTAAACCTGTTTGGGCCTGCTGCTCTCCGTCGCTTCAGATTTCCTATGGCTTTTACAACTTCGTAAAGAGGCGGAGGACCTAAATTACCTTGCCATTCAGGTTGACTGGAGGTCGTGTGAAACCGAAGTGTGATTGAAGGCCAGTTGAACTGATCCCTAAAGTGTTCTACCCATCGATCCAATCTCCTGGATTGAGGAAGTATAATGTATCCGTCTTTTTCTGAGAAAGTTTCGCAACAGTTGAGTTCCTAATACCGGTTTCCTTTGATGTCTGCTTCTGATCCTCCCTTTCATTGCAAATTAGGACATGCCTCGCGATTCAGTTTGATGATTTCTGCAATACATGTCTTATCCTGCGTCATTTCCTAATTTCCTCTTCATTTAGAAGCTAGTTTGTTCTCTCGCACAGTTGGCTGTTGCTGATGGTATCCGGCATACGGACATTCAATAATTTACGTAAAAAATTGTTTATAAATACTTGTGCATTTTTGATGATGGTTGTTTTATTTCTCGAGGTAGAACTGTCTTCACGTTGGTACTAATAAGTTAGAAAAACGTCATAGTATGGTATCAAAATATGAGTAGAGGCTGTCAAAAGTAACTGTTTTAATTATTTAATTCAGTTGATGAAAATATAATAACTGTCAGTGTTAATCAGTGCTATTAACAATAAAACTTTATTACACAATATTCGAATGCACTGAACAAACACTTTTGTGGGGATAACCAATTTATCATATAACGTCAAACATCACAATGCTTTCGTAAAATTAAGTCCTTTATTTGCAAGTCTCCTTTCAGTTGTCGTGCACATACTTCTTCATTCTTCATATTCGAATGTCGTTGAAATTCCTCACCGTTGCCTTTTCTGTTTTTTTCGCAATTCAATCTGAAACGTTTGCACACTATTTCATTTTGGTGTTGCATACTACTTATATCTGTCAAAATAAGCTGCGTACATCACGCGTTAATCCGTTTTTTAATGGCTGAATTAATCAAGTGTGATTGAAGTGGATTGATATAAACCTCATAACATCATACAATTCATCACATTTTATGCTGTTTGTACTTTTGTTCCTTTAAATTATTGTAGATGAAATTTCATCAGCTTTCGCTTCGTCATCATCCTCATCTATTTTATCATTGTCATCGTTTATATCTGTATTGTCAAATAATAATAATTTAATATTAGCTAATGGATCAACATGTTCATAAAATCCTGGAATTGTATGTAGTAATGATTATTTATTAGTGGATGATCGTATATCTAATGTTTATGACGGTAAAATTAACAATATACCAATAATTCGTTTTTATTTAATCAATAATTCCACATTGAAAACAATCGCCACAAAGACAAAAAAAAACTTACCAGAAGTAGAAATGATCAACTCATTATCATCATCATCATCATCATCATCATCATCATCATCATCATCATCATCATCATCATCATCATCATCATCATCATCATCATCATCATCATCATCATCATCATCATCATCATCATCATCATCATCATCATCATCATCATCATCATCATCATCATCATCATCATCATCATCATCATCATCATCATCATCATCATCATCATCATCATCATCATCATCATCATCATCATCATCATCATCATCATCATCATCATCATCATCATCATCATCATCATCATCATCATCATCATCATCATCATCATCATCATCATCATCATCATCATCATCATCATCATCATCATCATCATCATCATCATCATCATCATCATCATCATCATCATCATCATCATCATCATCATCATCATCATCATCATCATCATCATCATCATCATCATCATCATCATCATCATCATCATCATCATCATCATCATCATCATCATCATCATCATCATCATCATCATCATCATCATCATCATCATCATCATCATCATCATCATCATCATCATCATCATCATCATCATCATCATCATCATCATCATCATCATCATCATCATCATCATCATCATCATCATCATCATCATCATCATCATCATCATCATCATCATCATCATCATCATCATCATCATCATCATCATCATCATCATCATCATCATCATCATCATCATCATCATCATCATCATCATCATCATCATCATCATCATCATCATCATCATCATCATCATCATCATCATCATCATCATCATCATCATCATCATCATCATCATCATCATCATCATCATCATCATCATCATCATCATCATCATCATCATCATCATCATCATCATCATCATCATCATCATCATCATCATCATCATCATCATCATCATCATCATCATCATCATCATCATCATCATCATCATCATCATCATCATCATCATCATCATCATCATCATCATCATCATCATCATCATCATCATCATCATCATCATCATCATCATCATCATCATCATCATCATCATCATCATCATCATCATCATCATCATCATCATCATCATCATCATCATCATCATCATCATCATCATCATCATCATCATCATCATCATCATCATCATCATCATCATCATCATCATCATCATCATCATCATCATCATCATCATCATCATCATCATCATCATCATCATCATCATCATCATCATCATCATCATCATCATCATCATCATCATCATCATCATCATCATCATCATCATCATCATCATCATCATCATCATCATCATCATCATCATCATCATCATCATCATCATCATCATCATCATCATCATCATCATCATCATCATCATCATCATCATCATCATATCATCATCATCATCATCATCATCATCATCATCATCATCATCATCATCATCATCATCATCATCATCATCATCATCATCATCATCATCATCATCATCATCATCATCATCATCATCATCATCATCATCCTCATCATCATCATCATCATCATCATCATCATCATCATCATCATCATCATCATCATCATCATCATCATCATCATCATCATCATCATCATCATCATCATCATCATCATCATCATCATCATCATCATCATCATCATCATCATCATCATCATCATCATCATCATCATCATCATCATCATCATCATCATCATCATCATCATCATCATCATCATCATCATCATCATCATCATCATCATCATCATCATCATCATCATCATCATCATCATCATCATCATCATCATCATCATCATCATCATCATCATCATCATCATCATCATCATCATCATCATCATCATCATCATCATCATCATCATCATCATCATCATCATCATCATCATCATCATCATCATCATCATCATCATCATCATCATCATCATCATCATCATCATCATCATCATCATCATCATCATCATCATCATCATCATCATCATCATCATCATCATCATCATCATCATCATCATCATCATCATCATCATCATCATCATCATCATCATCATCATCATCATCATCATCATCATCATCATCATCATCATCATCATCATCATCATCATCATCATCATCATCATCATCATCATCATCATCATCATCATCATCATCATCATCATCATCATCATCATCATCATCATCATCATCATCATCATCATCATCATCATCATCATCATCATCATCATCATCATCATCATCATCATCATCATCATCATCATCATCATCATCATCATCATCATCATCATCATCATCATCATCATCATCATCATCATCATCATCATCATCATCATCATCATCATCATCATCATCATCATCATCATCATCATCATCATCATCATCATCATCATCATCATCATCATCATCATCATCATCATCATCATCATCATCATCATCATCATCATCATCATCATCATCATCATCATCATCATCATCATCATCATCATCATCATCATCATCATCATCATCATCATCATCATCATCATCATCATCATCATCATCATCATCATCATCATCATCATCATCATCATCATCATCATCATCATCATCATCATCATCATCATCATCATCATCATCATCATCATCATCATCATCATCATCATCATCATCATCATCATCATCATCATCATCATCATCATCATCATCATCATCATCATCATCATCATCATCATCATCATCATCATCATCATCATCATCATCATCATCATCATCATCATCATCATCATCATCATCATCATCATCATCATCATCATCATCATCATCATCATCATCATCATCATCATCATCATCATCATCATCATCATCATCATCATCATCATCATCATCATCATCATCATCATCATCATCATCATCATCATCATCATCATCATCATCATCATCATCATCATCATCATCATCATCATCATCATCATCATCATCATCATCATCATCATCATCATCATCATCATCATCATCATCATCATCATCATCATCATCATCATCATCATCATCATCATCATCATCATCATCATCATCATCATCATCATCATCATCATCATCATCATCATCATCATCATCATCATCATCATCATCATCATCATCATCATCATCATCATCATCATCATCATCATCATCATCATCATCATCATCATCATCATCATCATCATCATCATCATCATCATCATCATCATCATCATCATCATCATCATCATCATCATCATCATCATCATCATCATCATCATCATCATCATCATCATCATCATCATCATCATCATCATCATCATCATCATCATCATCATCATCATCATCATCATCATCATCATCATCATCATCATCATCATCATCATCATCATCATCATCATCATCATCATCATCATCATCATCATCATCATCATCATCATCATCATCATCATCATCATCATCATCATCATCATCATCATCATCATCATCATCATCATCATCATCATCATCATCATCATCATCATCATCATCATCATCATCATCATCATCATCATCATCATCATCATCATCATCATCATCATCATCATCATCATCATCATCATCATCATCATCATCATCATCATCATCATCATCATCATCATCATCATCATCATCATCATCATCATCATCATCATCATCATCATCATCATCATCATCATCATCATCATCATCATCATCATCATCATCATCATCATCATCATCATCATCATCATCATCATCATCATCATCATCATCATCATCATCATCATCATCATCATCATCATCATCATCATCATCATCATCATCATCATCATCATCATCATCATCATCATCATCATCATCATCATCATCATCATCATCATCATCATCATCATCATCATCATCATCATCATCATCATCATCATCATCATCATCATCATCATCATCATCATCATCATCATCATCATCATCATCATCATCATCATCATCATCATCATCATCATCATCATCATCATCATCATCATCATCATCATCATCATCATCATCATCATCATCATCATCATCATCATCATCATCATCATCATCATCATCATCATCATCATCATCATCATCATCATCATCATCATCATCATCATCATCATCATCATCATCATCATCATCATCATCATCATCATCATCATCATCATCATCATCATCATCATCATCATCATCATCATCATCATCATCATCATCATCATCATCATCATCATCATCATCATCATCATCATCATCATCATCATCATCATCATCATCATCATCATCATCATCATCATCATCATCATCATCATCATCATCATCATCATCATCATCATCATCATCATCATCATCATCATCATCATCATCATCATCATCATCATCATCATCATCATCATCATCATCATCATCATCATCATCATCATCATCATCATCATCAGCAGCAGCAGCAGCAGCAGCAGCAGCAGCAGCACCATTATTATTATTATTATTATTATCTTCTGCTTCTTCTTCTTTGAAGACAGTCAGTCAGTCATTCAGTCAACTTACAGCATTACGAAATCATTATCTAGTGATATTGATATGTAGTTGCCTGAGACTAGATATTACTGAACTACATTGATCATAACCTGTTACTAGAACTCTAGGTAATACTTCTCAAAATTACTCATTACTAAGCATTACTGCGAGCTGACTCAATTTAAAAACGTAAACCTGATGTGTAGCTGATAAAAATACTGACTGGTTGTTTGCCTAGTCAGACTAGTAGATGGTCTGACGAGTATGAGATATGTCACATGTTTTCTATCACATTATTATTTCTTATTGTTTGTTATTGTCGTTGAAACATTCGCACGTTCTAGTGTGATCAGTCACGTGTTCGTGATGGAAATCGCATTGAAGTCCTGTAGAATGGACACTGTCATTGTATCGTGTGTAGATATTTGTCTCATTCGTGTAAAGAAGAAATTCCAGCGTCATTTTTAAAACGATCGTTCTTGACTCAGTGATCGAAAGCTTATAGAGAGGCTATTAGGTGTTTTGTTTTTGAACTTGATCTATGTTAGGCTTGTGGATTTACACTATTCAGAAGTCTTATATTAAGACGAAACAGTTGTCTAGTGCCTACTGATTTTCAATGATTGTTTTGTTACAGGAACTTCATGATATCAACTACAATATATAACTGTTTATGTCATTGTGTTTTATGAATATGTCATAAATGTTTTACGAAGTATCGTGTATCAGAGTAAAGTTTAATAAAGATCCAGTTTAAAACAACTCTCTTCGTCTTGATATCTTGTATTAATTTCCACAATGAGAATTTCTGAAATTTTTGCGTTGACATTAGTTTAATGATTATCAAAAATCAAGATACATTGAAACAAATGTATCCATGATCTTCAAGTCTCGTCAGTGAAAATGACACCATCTAACAATTGAATCATTTCCCAGCCAGGGAGTGGTGGAGGACCGACAGAAGTCAGTCCTTTGCAGCTTTCTTTCATACCACGACACCATGTCATCCACTGACCACCTCTCCGCTTCTTCCAACCAGTCCCAGAGTCGGCAAATAATGCACGGCGTGAAATTCTCTGGGACGACATTCGTGGAACATGTCCAAGCCACCGAAGTCGGTGTTTCAAGACAGTGACACCAATTGAATTATCACCTCTGTGCCCGAACACACGATGCCGAATTTCTGCATTACTGACATGGTTTTGACACTGGATGTCAGCAATCCTTCGGAGACAATGATGATCGAACACAGAGAGTCTTCTAACGTCCTCAACTCGGAGAGACCAGGTTTCACAAGCATAGAGCAAAACTGCTCTCAACGACGCGTTGTAGATCCGAACTTTTACAGCCAGACTAACATCACGAAGGCGCCAGAGGTGGCCCAGATTGGCATTAGCCACTCTGGCTTTCACTATACGTGCATTGATCTCATCACTCACACCCCCACCAGCACTTATGCAGCTACCCAGATACACGAACATCTCGACTACTTCTATCTGCTCACTATCCAGGGTGAGTACAGGTTTAGAATCCTACCAGTCTTGTAGAAGTACTTTGCACTTGGAAGGTGCAAAGCACATACCATACCTACGGACACTGATTGCCAACTGATTAAGTGCGGATTGCATGCCTTGGGAATTATCGCACAGTAAGTCAATGTCATCCGCATACTCAAGGTCGAGAAGTCTTTCTCCAGGCAACAGATCCACACCGCCAGTACTTACATTCATCAGAGCTGTTTCCAGAATGTCATCGATGGCAAAGTGGAGGAGGAATGGTGAGATTAGGCAACCCTGTCTAACCCCACTACTCGAATGGAACAATGGAGCTTGGACGCAATCGGAAGTAGACTTATCCCCCGATAGTTGTTACAGGAACGACATGAACCCTATTTAGAGATAGGGACAACTATCGACTCAGTCCATGACGTTGGTACACTCTCTAACACCCAAATCTTTGTAAACAACGTCGTCAGTTCCTTAGTCAAAAAGTCACCACCATCTTTAAAAAGAGCCGGAGGTAAGTCATCTGGGCCAGGTGATTTGTAACGCTTCAAGAGTTGGAGTTCTTTGCGGACTTCCTCCTCGTTCGGTGGATCAATCGTCACCGGTCATGGAGGGCAGGACAGTCTGACCGATGTTGCCGGAGCAGCAGGCCAGTTGAACTGCCCTTCGAAAAATTCTGCCCATCGTCCAAGACGTCGATGGATGTTAGTGATTGGTATCCCATCATCCTCGTAGATTGTTTCGCTCACACCAGACTTCTTGCTGCCAGTGGCTCGGATGAGTTGGAAGAGCTTCCGGTAATTACCAGATGCAGCTGATGCTTCCAGCTCATTAGCACGCTTCGACCACCAGGCTTCTCGGTCCTCACGCAAGCTTTGCCCGATTTCCTTACGTAACATCCTTCGTTTGTGGTCGAACTCACGGTCACCCGGAGTAGACCGACGGGCTTCAATGTGTTGTAAGGAACCAGAAGAAACCCAGTGCTTAAAAGCGGGACGTATCGCGACCCCACAACTGTCAGTACCCGCCATTTTCATGGCGTCATGCAATTGCAACCAATGCTCATCTACACTTTTCGGTGGAATGGTAGCTAGCCTGGAGGCTAACTCGGTTCGATACTTACTTGCAACAGAAGTTGCGACCAGCTTGCTAATATCAATCCGTTAATGACGCTCACTTCGTTGTCCACTGAAAAGTAAGGTAAGATTGTCGCAGACCAACGCATGGTCAGAGTCCAGATAGGTACTCCAGAAGGAGCGGCAGTCTTTTACACAACCACGCCAGCGGTAGCTGATCGCAATGTGATCAATCTGAGTCCAGGCTTGAGATGCAGAGGGAGGACGCCAGGTAGCACATCTGCGACGACTGTGCCGAAAGTTAGTGCTAGCCAGAAACAGGTTGTGGTCTGTGCACAGTTGCAGTAGACGGTCCCCGTTATCTGACCTGCGACCAACGAGTCCCCATCGGCCACCTAAACGACTCTCTTCTGTGCCTAGACGCCCGACCTGAGCATTGAAGTCTCCGGCTAGTACTACAATATCTGTCGAACGCACTTTCTGGAGAAGAACAGTTAATTGGTGGTAGAATTCATCCTTGATAACATCCAGGCTGCAGTCTGTCGGGGCATATGCGGAGATGACAAAAAGTCATCGTTTCTCACGCCGATTTCTTCTCACTTTGATGGAACTTTCTAATCTAACAGCACATAACCGACTGTTAATTGGGATCCAATCGACTAGTGCTGCCTCAGCTCTAGCGCTTAGTGCGACACCAACGCCAGCGAGACCAGACGAAGATGCCACAGGGTACCCGGATAAGCGCACGTAAAACAAGCTTTTTGAAGTGACAAATGGAGAGCGGATTTGTAGTACTTCGCTAGAGTCTTGAATACGGGTCTCGGATAGACAGCAAACATCGATATTAAGACTTTCCAAAGACATAGCCAGCTCTATCTGTTGTCCAACCTGTATAAGTGTGCGAACGTTGAAGGCAGCCAGTTTGAATGTCGCACGTGGTTTCAGAAAAACTGCTTCAGTACTCATATTCGATGGTAAAATACAATTTTCAACCGGACAGTGACTCGAGAACGTTTAGATACAGTCGAATTTCCACCAAAGACGAGCCGCTGTATAAGTATAAAAGAAGGTGAATAATGTGGAAAATAATAATAATAATGACAATAATAGTATTAATAATAATTGTACTAATAATGACAATAAGAGTAATGATAATAATTTGAATCAATTCATTGTTTTTCGAAGCGAGAAAAGTAATTTCCATAGACATAGAAAGTTCATCATTTGTGTGTGGGCTGTGATACTGTACAGGTGCTCAAACCGAAGCAGGTGGTTATCTTAGGGGGCCACTCCGCTAGCCTTTGAGCTAAAGATCTAACTCACAAGGCAGTGGAGCATCGTAAGGAGATGCAATCCCATGGTAGCCGGTGACCGAAAATTGGTTCATACGCCATTTGTTCCCTCCGGATACTGGAGCCCATGTGCACCATTGGTTTGGAATCCGGTTAAAGCGCCGGACATTCGCTTTTCGTCCCCTCATTTCCGTAAACAACACCCCCGCCATGAGAAGGCAGTGAGTAGTACTTCCGTGGCAGAGGCTGTATACGCGTGGCCGTGTGAGAGCATTTTGAGAGGGAGAGCGAACTCTCCCCACTCTCGGCTGTACCAGAGCATTTGAGGGCCTAACCTGTGTCACAAAATCTCTTTATACCTTATTTCTTTGCATGTACCCAATCTTTCCTACTACCACAACTGTTATTACTACTGTTAGTAATCTGGAATTTGTCTCGATAATTTTATCTCTCTTTGCTAATAAGACATGACAACTTGAGCTGACATACCTATGTATCAGATTCTACGTTGCACATGACTAGAACTATGTAAGAGGAAGCCATTAGGCAGAATTTGATAGTAGAGATAGAGGAAAAATATTAAAAAGAGATGAAGTTCTTTTAATACAGACAAGGTGTTTTTGAATGCTGCTAGAGTTATGTGAACAGTTGATATTTCCCAGTTACCTACATTGAGGAAAGATAGTTTTTTTGAGGTATCCGAAAAGAATATTGGATAGGTAGTGATTTTGCCGACCTGGAAGAGTGACCGCTGACCACAAGAGACAAATGTTTAAAGCAGATCAAACTGCTATTTTTCTGAGTAGTTGTTAGTGTGTTGGCCCTGCACTTCATATCTTTATTTACCCACAATTATTTTCTTTGAGTTTGGTGGTATTTATAAGCGGAATTCAGGATACTCGTTTTATAACAATGGGAAGATACAAACCCTTTTAAATAAAATTTTTAACCATTGTACATGTAAGTGGCTATCTGACCTTTGTAGCTCATCAGAGTTAATGCGTTGGGCGTGAAGTAGTCGAACGCGTTGACAACTTCACTTATTTGGAAGTCTGATCAGACCTAATGTGTTGGTATCGGACGAAATCTCAGCACGGATTCGAAAAGCTCGTTTGGATTTTGCCAA